TCGTGGTGGTAAAAAAAGGTCTAATGTGAGTATTTGACGAATTAGATTTTATATTATTTTGAAAAGAAGAAAGATAAATCATTTTTTTGACAGGAATCAACTTCATAATCCAGAAAATATTCATAAGTAATAAATTATAATTAGTTGTAACATAAATTAAAGTCATAAATAAATCGGATATACTTTTGCCTTCGCAAAATAAAATTCTAACCTTATGTATGCAGTCTGCGTGTCAGCATCTGCCAAAATAGATGTTGCTTAGCCTGAACCTTTTGCTCGACAAGCAATATAGCGCTGATTGTCAGCAACACGTTGGTGATAATGAACAATGAACAAATGTTTTACTGTTGACTGCCAATCTAACGAACATGCAAAGTGATACTATCAAATTTTTAAGTGTATTTACAACATTATATGTCTGTGTTATTAAAATATTTAGACTTATATATGTTAAATGGTGTAAAGGATTAGTACTAATAATCACCTTTTATAGGTTTTACTATGGGATCTGTTCGAAAATAAATAAATAAACCCACACCATTGCGTTATCTGACTACTAGACACAGTCAGAAGTATGAAGTTTGCATTGTTGACACACCAAAAAGTTTAATTAGACGATTTGACAGTTCTTTTTTGTTTTAAGTTTCCAAAGGCTGGAATGAACTGTTTGCGCTTATTGTTCAGACAATTAATAATCAATCTTAATAATCAAAAACGTTCAAGTGTGGAGTGATTAAGTTTCTCTTAGATAGGCGTCTTCATCTTCCCTATTCTTCAGGTGAGTTGGATGACAAATACGTATTCTGTCATATAAACGTCAGTATGGATACTACCCCTCTAAGTATCTAATGTTTGTGTCACTAATCCACACATAATAAATTATTCTGATGACTGGCGAATAAGGTAAACAGCCTGTTGTACGGGAATCAATACATTTTTATGTTAGCGACCAATATATGCGTGGCGTTGAAATACGACAACAGAGACTCACATGCTATCCGGCTACGTGGCGCTCTCCTCGGGCTTACAACTTCACTGCTATAGCAATCAGGCTTATGTTCATAAGCCTAATTGCTATAGCAGTGGGGTTGTTGTGAGCCTGGGGAGAGCTCATTGGAGCAAGAAACTCATTGGAGTTTCTTCAATGCAGTTCAAAAGCAGATAATTTTTTTAACTACCAAAGTATAATTTTTAAACATATATACTTAATTTAATGTTGTAGTTATTTATGGTTCCTAATTTGATGTAAAGTTGTTTATGTTAACACATTTTATGTTGTTTCTGTTGTTGGTTTGAGTTTTGTAAGTATAGTATAGATATAAGCGATTTGATGTACAATGTGATGTATAAGCGATATGTGAATAAAGAATTGAATTTAATGGAAAACTTAATTACAATACCGAATAAAAAATCTCTTGCTTGAATAAAAAATAGCTTTAAGTGTAGTTCTTACATTCAATGATACACAGACAGATATTTGAATTTCCTAGTTCTGTCTATTGAAAGTAACGGCAATAATCATAAATCTAAAACATTCTGTACCCGAGCCCACGTATACTGTCACGATTAGGAATGAGAACATTAAAGCGTCATCCTTGGAAACTCCAACTGGTCACTTTCACGACATAATTCATGGTATATAAATATAAATAGAAACTAGCTGGTACCTGCGATTTTGTGTACGTGGAGTTTGAAAAGCGCTGTCTCAGGGCCTCCGAGTACGGGTATACAGAGTATTATTGTACACGGGCGGAATTTTCAAGGGGGCGGCAAAAACAGAAATCGAAATGAAAATTAAACTTTTTCATAATTTGCATGTTTAATGTATTTTTATCTCATCATAGTAACATCTATTGACCAGTGTATGAAAATAAATGCAAATGTTTATATTCGAATTACTTTATTAAACGTAAGTATGTATAATTTGCATCACTCAATATGCGTACGCGGGGTTTCCAAATATCCTACACCGGGCGAAAGTTTTACGTTAGGAAGATTATGGGGTGTCTTAATTCTGGTACGCGGTTATTGCGACGGTAAGACGCGTTATGAAGTGATAAGAAACACGGGACCCTCTGATATTGGCTGACGCAAAGGACGTTTTGGAGGTCCCCTGTGTCTGATCCGCAAAGAGCCAACGCCCGGATGCTGCCACTACGATGGCCCGAGCGCGGTCATGATTGTTTACATGCTGCCAGAATGTCAGTGTATGGAGTAGAGGTATGACCCTGTGACTGATTGCGACCATGGTACGGAGCGACTAACTCCTTCTGCGGGGCGAAGTGGGACCGGGAGAGACTTAGAACCCTGTTCCGGCTCACTAGGCCCAGGGTTGGACCAGGTACTGCAGGCGGCTTAAGCGCTGGTGGTCGCTAAATGATCTCCGTCGCGCCGGGCCTGGGAGTGACAGGAGGAGGAGGGGAAACTGTAGTCACTACACATCAAGAGACCATCTGTAAGCCGTAAATGACTCGGGGGCCGTCGGAGTTTGAGGGATTTTCTTTTTAGGTTACACTTGGTTGCCCAGCTACCGCCCGAGATGGCGCGATTGCGGTATTGGGCTCGCGCTGACTAAAGTCCTGGCAAGGCACGGCACGGCAAGGTGTCCTTCGGCACCTGTAGGATGCTATGGTATGAAGCATTTCTGATCAAGTTATTTTTATCCATATTTCCATGTTTTTATAATTCATATTATTTTACTTTTACCTTTTCTACACTGCGACACGTCTTGGTATCGTCATTTTTTTAAGAGTTCCGTTGTCTGTCTCCAAAACCCATCATCAGATCTATATGAAAATTAAATTGTACCATTTAGGAATAAACCCCTTTCGAACAAAAAATAATTTAAAAAAAACCGTCCAAATATGACGTACATTAAAAAAAACCGAATTGTTCCTCCTCCTTTTTTAAGTCGGTAAAAAATTGTCTAAGTTACTCCTTACATAGACTATATAGGTAGTAAAATATTGTCGAAATCGGTCCAGCCATTTAGAAGATTACCCGGAACAAACATCAATCATCATATCCACAGCCTTTAGTAGTCCACTGCTGGACATAAGCCTCTCCTCAGAAAGGAGATATTGCCTACCATACTACGCTGGCCAGACGGGTTGGTCGTCTATCATCGAGTGGGCAGGGCGGTAGCATGGGACTCTTCCCTTCCAACTGACGCAGGTCCTTTCTGGGCACGGCTGCTTCGGAAAGTACCTGCACTCGGTCGCTAGGAGGAAATTGAGTCCCGCCTGTCACCACTGCGATTGCATTGAGGACTCGGCTCAGCACACGACGTCAATTTGACCGGCTTGGGCGTCGCAGCGCCTTTATTGCAGTCATAGGGTAGTCATAGTCATAGGAGGGGACTTCTGGCTACCGGCCGTCATACGCTCCATGGCCGGTAGTGGCAGGTAGTGCGAGATGACGTCTTCGCAGAAGAATGCGTCGGAGAGGGCCTGGGAGGACAACCTCCACTAGGACCGAGGTGCTGCCCGCGCCGTTGCGTTCAGGTGTTAGAAGGGGTCCGGATGTGTTAATAACAGCAGTTCCCGGATCCCTCCTATTACAGGCGCAGAGTTGCACACCGTGTGATTTTAGTAGGTTCAATTCGGACACACCACTCCGCTGCAAACTCCGGTGAGGTGACAGCCACGTGAAAAAACGTAACACGTAAAAAAAAAATTGTTCCAAGTTTCTTCTCTTTGCAGTGCTGTTATCCAGCATAGTTTACCCCATTAGTGGGCTCTTACGACATCACACGGACAGACAAGACATATGGTTGTAAAACCACGGCCTCACAAAAAACCGGTGTTAAATAAATCTTTCGTTGCTTTTCACCAAGTGCAGAGATCACCAGAGTCCAAACTCCTCCTTTTCCTAATTTTAGAGAAGGACTTAAACCATGGCAGGTTATGACTCTTAACTTGCAGGTGGTGTTGCATCAGGTCACACTTCAGCTTGTTCGATTCCCACCCAGGACAAATAATTGTGTGATGAGAACGGTCATTTGTTCTGTGTCTGGATGCACTTTGTCTATAATATGTATGTATTTAAAAATATGTAAGTATGTTTATCAGCAGTCTGGTTACCATTGTACAGGCTCTGCCTAGTTTTGGAATCAGACGGCCGTGTGTGAAATTTGTGAAAATATTATTATTAAATATTATATATAGTACTAATGAGGACTGGCAGACTTTATAAACACTGCAGATCATTATTGTGAATAATCAATCTACTTACTTTAAGACTTCTTCTTCAAGAAATAATATCTGAAAAGCGCAGTAACTTCAAGAAGTCTCTTGAAGTTACTCTAGTTAGTTAGTCTCTCTCTCAATCTTGATCAACCTTGTTAGTAAGCGACTTCTATTGATTTGATAGTCCGTAGCATATCATGCATAATTTTTTAATAGTGTAATAATATTTATCTTATTATCTTACATGTTCACAATTATTGCATTTGTGCGCGTTGATGTCTTTTACAAGTAGGATGACGCGTACGAATGTCACTCATGCGCAGTATTCAATACTCGCCATACAAACCACTGCAATGCGCATTACTAACACTTGGACTAATTAATACTCGGCACATGATTAGGGCTGTCAGGGACTATTAGTAGAGTAGAGAATGTCGTGATCTGTCACATAGGTTATTTTTTGCATGGTTTTAAACACCACTGAGGAAGTAAATATTTGTAGTACCACGGATTTAACAAGCGTGATAATGGACCTTTCGGTTTCCTGATTGAAGTAATAGTAGTATAAGTATACATCAAGTATCCTCTTTCTGGACACGACGAAATCTAACAATCAGTCATCTGGTTAATCCGGTATCTTGACAGTAGACAATACATAATTAAATTACCGGCCTTGACCGGTTATGTTTCTGCGCTAGTCATGCAAGTCTAATTAAGTAGGTATCGGTAACCGTTCACTTGGAAAAGCATATCTTGAGAGCTTTGAGAGTTTAGTCCACAACCTGGATCATAAGTTCAAAGCTAGCGTCACTCTTAACTAGTTTCAAGAGTACGGAACCCTGGTCGATTTCTCTTAGGTTTCCCATCAACGTCGAGGTGATATCGACCGAGAGACAATAAATCCGGTTCTGGCTGCAGCGGGCGGGTTGCAATTAAACTAGTGTCGCGACGGGGTTCGCGGACCGTGCGAAAGTGAAGCACGCGGGGTCGGAGGGGGCCGCGGGGAACCGTCTGCGCAAAATACACAGAGTAGATAATACAGTATGACCATTATATATATATATTTATTTTAGTTATCAACGAAGTTCGCAGTGAGGTTATATGGAAGAGAACTAAAGTTACCCTCAAAGCTAGCTGAAGAATCAGCTTCGCTGAAGTAGTTACAGGCTAGCCAGGTTTCCAGAAGAACCGTTACAGCACACTGGTCCTAGAATGGAGACCGCGAATCAGTATACAGAGATAGGGTGCCGACCTAATAAAGGTAACTGAGATGGTTTGGATATGACAGATGAAGGACCGGATACTGTGGTGCACATTGGAAGCGGTCTGTATCCACTACGTGTGAGGTTCATCTTATTGCATTAATAACAGCAATATACACATAAAGAGGATTACCAGTCTATAACAATTACTGTCACAAGCGTGGATGGACGTCATATATCGGAATACCAAAAGAAAATGTTTGATCAATTTCCAGAATACATTTTCATACAACAAAAGTATGAAATAGGTATAATTATATTAAAGCCTTTTTTATTCCAAACCAATTTAATTTAATTTTATATAGTTACTTTAATATAACACAGATACTCGATCTAGATATATCTAGATATATCTAGATAGGTAACTAGGTTTAGTTTACCATAGCTTAGATTTTAAGATATTTTTATAGATACATAAGGTTCAGCAGATTCTTATTTTTCTCAATTCCTTTTTGTAAAATTAGTAAAACAAAGTATTGACAAATTTCACTCCAAAGGTTGTGATGAAGCCATGATTCTGATCTACAAGTGGTATTCGCATACTGGTTTCGCGTGGCGTGTGGTGTTAGCAATCGGTCTCCGGGGCGCGGCGCGTGGGTGCGCCGGCTCAGTCCGCGCGCGGAGGCCGGCGCAGACGCACGCGCTGGTAGTGCCATGTCGCGCTAGCGGCGCGGCTTCATGGTGTACCCCGAGGCGTCCCGCTGGGGCGCGCCCGACGCCGCGCTCGCGCCCCTCTACGATGACGTCTACAGAGGTCAGCTGATACTTGGAACCTCCGCTGTGCAAATATTCAAACCTCTTTGTTTCCCGTCCCTTGATCTCTTTCTGTGCTGCGAACCTGTCGTTCTTGTACGATGCACTCGACCATATTTAACGACCCTTTCATGTTAAAGTAAAGTACTAAATTCTATATATTATGCGTATATATATTATGCGTAACAACTCAAACGGATACTTTGTTTACTTTTAAAACATTTTAGCATGTTCAACCCCTACGTTTTCAATATTTGATCGCTTCTTTCACCGCGGTTTTAACGTGAAACTTTGTTTTAGAAATTCACACTTGTATGTTGTGCGACCGGTCGCCGATGACTCAGTTGCCGACATCTGTAGTTGTTAACCATTCGTATTTACATTTCAATCCCACAGCTCGAGTTGATTGTAACGTATTATATATTTGCGTCTTGTGAACATTGGCAGTGGAGGGTGTGTTATGATCCAGTCCAGTAAGTTTTATATTCGAAATTACATCGCCTTGTAAATGTTCACAAATGTGAATATTATGCCGAGTAGTTTTTGTATTATTGCAATGTACCTATCCATCAATAAATTGATAGAATTCTAAGGTTTACGAACTAATATAACGTAGTGATATTTCTTGTTATTTGCACATAAACTCGCATTCTTTAGTTTCCTTAGATGTTCTCTTGTTAATAATAGATTCATTACGTTCTCGGAGCATTTACCAACTGACATAAGATAAGATAACTGCTTGTAATACAGTAAATACTAAATGATTTTAAATGAACAATAATAAAATTATTACAGTATATATGAATTAAACAAATAACTACCATTAGTAATAAAACAGCAAAGTATACTAACGGAAGTTTTAGCAAAATACGACCTTATTGTATTGTAATCAGAATTTAAAATTCACAATAATGGCCACCAACTTCGCAGTCTCGTTTGGCGTAAAACATTTCGTAATGACATTACTGTAATTCTCTATACAATGGCGTAGGAGGAGAATTATCTTCATAATGTTTTAACGTGATTGTTGAGCCGCGTTGAACGGTTGTTTTATTGATAATTGGGACCTACGACTCATGTCGGTGCTTTAAAGCTCAATTAAACCTTGAAAATTGAACTGTCTTAAGGAAATTCAAATTGTGATTTTATAGTAGGTATCTTGTTTACGATCGTCTATAAAGTTGCCATACTCGTGGTGCGGACGGAGGCTTCTTGCATCCAGATATACGTAACGTACGACGTTTAGTTATTAATATGACCTATACGGCTTTCCAATCGGCCTACATCGCGTGTTGTAAATTGAGATATATCTGAGTTGCGATTTCACGAGTGTTTAGCGCTCGCGGCGCAGCGTTCACGTCTGATGGAGCTTTATGTCATTTATTAGTGTAATTGCTTGTTAATGATTTTATAATTCGACAGTTCTGTATGATTTGGTACGAGTATTCATTGATTGGATGGTACGTAGGTAGCTCAACGTTGTTAACTTTTTTGTAGGCTTAGAAATTGTTACTGTCTGTATCACTGTAGGTTTTGAAGTAAAATTTTGTTAAGTTTAATATTTCGGTTCTTGTGCACTGAAAGAGTCTCTAACAATAAAATACCAAAATAATAAGCTCTTCAGGTCTATTTCTGATTTTTGACTCTTGTGTGTTTGACCGTTAAACGTAGAATAAAATGTTTTACATAATTAAACCCAATTCAATTAATTAACATATTACCTAGCTACCAAAACTAATAGGTATAAAAGGCAAAACAAAAGAAAATATTTTGACTTTTCTATAGATGTCATTTTAATATCTGATTTGATTTTGATATACATTAATAAAATTCTCATACAGCAAATTTTATACATGATATTCATTGTCTGCATTCGTAAATAACTAGCAATCCTTGCGGGATGCTGTGTGGTGACTGTACGCGACAATTCGAGCATGTGTGTGTCAGCAATGCGGCGCGTGCGCATGTGGGGGATTTTTACAAGTTGCAACATGCACCGGGAGAGATGCGATCGGCTTATTCTAGAAACTGTAGCTCAAGTATAACAGCACTTTAGAGTTATAGCCTAAACCGTCGCAGGTTATGGATCAAAGTACATACCACTTGTCGGAGATTAGGATATGTGAGTCTTTATACTTATCTTTAAACGAGACATTATATTATTTCAGAATTTACCATTTAAAAATTATAAGATTAATAAAAAGTATTTTTTAAAATTTTAAATTTCATAAATTCTTCACCTTTAGAAACTTACACATAATCTGCAAGTAATATGGACCTAGGTGGGTTCCCTGTAATGTCACAGGGAACCCACCCAGGTCCATATTATACTATACTTATTTAATAACTACTATACATATTATACTTCTTTAATAACTACTATACATATTATACTTATTTAATAATTGATTTAATATTAAGATAAACACATTAAATTTAACATTAACTTTGACAAAGGTTGTATGATTCGGACTTTCATTGTTTCAAACGCTTTTAAAAAAAATAATAGTGCACATTCAACCAAATAACTTATAAAACGCAAATCGAAAGTTCTTATTTTGTTTAGGTACATTCAGATTTCGATTCTATCATCGAGTTCAATAAATAATTGATCAGGAACAACATAAACTATACTAATAAACGTCAGGTATGTCGTAAATTGATTGGAAGTGTTCCGTTATTAATTTCTATCCTCACATCAGCGAGTAACGGAGTTAGCAGGACTGAGAACCAGCTTAAATAACGTGTTTAGGCTATACTTCTCTTACTGACTAGATATGTTCTTATTGGCAAACCAGCAATAAAATACTAAAACATTTATGTGTTCCAATTTCAATCCCATACAGCGCTAAAACGTTCAACTCTATTACTAAGACTTTTTTTAAACCAGTTTTAAATTAAAGTGTTGCATAAATTTCATATATATGTATATTTTTAAACCGACAAAGTTTCTCATCAGAGAATACGAAGATGCGTTTGATTAAGTTCACGGTTATTTCAAAAATTCATGTTAATCTTTATAAATTACTGTTCTTTCGAAGTTTACAAAGATAACTTTTATTATTTCAGATCTAAATTTTACTTAATTTATGACACAGGCTAATCTTTAAAACAAACATTTATGTTAAGTTGTTTATACCGCAGTTACTAGTTCGCTTTGCCAATATTCGACACAATCCGATATTGTATTCGGCCTTTAACTAGAAAGTTGGAGATTTGTATGACAAATTTAGAACACAAATATTTTAGTTATTTATTTTAGCTAATCAGAGTACCGGCCAAAAAATATTTATACAATTTTTTGTCATTTTGATGGCAGTTTGTTTATCCCTTTACTGTAGAAGTCTACTGGACGAGAGGCTATGAAGTCATCAAAACAGTTTTGTACTGCCTCTTGGGTGTTGAATTTTTTCCCACTTAAAAAATCTTTTAAATTTTGAAAAAAATAGAAATCTGTTAGGTGAGTGACGGTGAGCTTCCATCTGTAACTCTTGTAATTTTGCGATGGTCTGTCGTGAAGTGAGAGCTCGCGCGTTGTCGTGTCGCCTTGGTGAAGAGCGATTGACCCGTCGTTGTTGTTGAATTCTGAGCTTTTCCATCATTATTTGCAAATCTTGGCAATAGACATTTGCCGACACTGTTGTGCCATTCGATAAGAAGCTGTGATGTACAAGTCCGGCACTGGTCCACCAGACAGTCAAGATCATCTTCCTATGGGTAATCATTTTTTTAACCCACTGATTAGGTGCTGTACCCTAGGCCACCCACTGAGTCGAATGCATCGAATGTTATCGTACATTTTCATCGCAGGTAACAGTTCGATTCAGAATTCCCTGTGCTGATTCAGTAGTGCTATGCATGCTTCAACACGTAAGTCTCGCCGATGGTCGCTTAGTTCGTGCAGCACCTACTTATCTTTTTCTTCTTCTATCTTTTTTGTCTTTCAGATTTGACGCAAGTGCTTTAATCTTGTTTTGACACCCACTCCAAACCAAAATTTCCACATCTAAAACAATTGAACCAATAATAGACCATGCAAACATTGTTAGGCCCGTACCCGTCGTTAATGTTTCGTGTTGTTTGCCCGGCGGTATTTTCGTATTCGAAAATTGTACGAATTTTCAGTTTATCAATGGCGCCAAATACTAATACAATTTTTTCAAATCAAAACATCTAAAACAAATTACTGAATTTTAAATTAAAATAACGTGACTTCCGAATAAAATTTATATGAATTTCTTATAAGTATAATTGAATTTATATAATTCAATCTGAAAATGCTGGTTTTAAAAATCTCTAACTGCTGCTTAATTTTATTAGACCTTTCGAAGTAAGAGCAAATCTCTACAGCTTTATATGATTAGTATATAAACTAATAAATCATTCTTGTTTCTTTTTATGTTTTTTAAATTCATGATGCGGTAGTATAAGTTGTGTCTGACACCGTATTAAGTGTTAAGGGATTGATCCTATAGTTCCAGTATCAGATGCCAACTCTGATAACTTTTCGTCTTACGCTGCATGTTTAAAATAAAATACCTAAATGAAATCATAATAAGAATAGTAACAATAAACATTTATTTGCGAATATGGGTACAATAAGGTTGTTACAAAAGAATATCTTGAGGCCAATAGGCCATAGTGACCAATCTTTGTCTATTGCTATAATAAAAGTACAAAAAATAAGAAAGTAACTTACATATAAAAAAATCTCTATAATGAGAGTTTAAGTTATACTGGTTATTTAATAAAACAAAGCCTGCAAAATTTAATGAACTGTAGACGAAACTCAACCACCAAGTGATTTAACATTTTATGTCTACCTTTGCCTTTTAAGTTGTTTGTAAATACATACCTAACATTTATTGACTTTATTAATAGCGTTTGCAAATGTAAACAAATTTATGAGTTACAACACAAGTCCTGTAAAAGTTTTGTATATATGTATTGGTAAGATTTATTGATAGGGATACCATCCTTGTATGTTTGTGTGTTTTATCGTGCACCTATTCTTATAATTTGCATGTTATGTGTATGACTTAGTGAGGCTGACTACTGATTCAGAGGCTGTTAGTTTGATTCCAACTCGTTTCGAAGCATATCTTTGATAAATCCTTGGCCAAACATTTGATT